ATCTATCTATCTATCTATCTATCTATCTATCTATCTATCTATCTATCTATCTATCTATCTGTCTGTCTGTCTGTAAGTTTATCTATCATCTGCCACAGGCAATCTAAATCACTTGTCATTTAGGCCTGCTTTGTGTGTGCTTTCATTAATCATCATGAGTCATGACTTCCGTTCTATGGAGCAGTAACCTGTCGTGGCTTTATGCTGTTTGGAAAGCTATCGACCACCATGACTCACTGCCATGTTGATTCATAACAGAAAAACAGCAGATAAACACACTATTGAGTTTGTGTCCCAAACCCATTTCCTGAATCAATTCTTTTGCCAGCTCAGGCCTCTTGAAAGAGTCTCTGTGTGTGTGTTTCCCTCGCACATCTGTTGGTCTTTAAAATTTGGCCGATGTGTAAGACTCGAGCAGAAAAGTCCATGCAGTAGTTTTTGGCTTCTCTAGTATATATATGCACTTGAAAATAGCTATGAATCATTTGCTTCTATGTTCTGGACTGAACAAACGGACTTAAGTGGAAGTTACCTCAACATGCAGCAGAGAAAACTAGTCAAGCTGAACCTCAAGTGCCATGAAGAAGAGACCTTTTACAAGACAAGTTTGTTATAACAGCTCTCAAGCAAATTAACTTTTTAAATGAAATTTCTGTAAATAAGTTTCAGTACACTGTCTGTTGAACATCCCTTTACAGTTAACTAATCTGACTTATTTTTGACGTAAAAGCGGGCACAGCCGTTTGTAACTTGCGGGCTTCCGGTGTAATTTTCTTCCATTTTTTTTAGGTGTAGGCTATAGTAAAGTCCTTTATATGTTGCTCGATATTCCAAACTGGTATTTGTTATTATATTTTACTTTATTATCATAATCATAAACACTCTGTTTTGTAATGCAAATAGCTTTACTGTTTACTATTCTATTCAAGTTATTTACCAATATAGCAGCTAATGAATTTGAAGTCTCACACATTCAAAGAAAATAGCTTATTTCCGTGTTGCAAAATAAGGTAAATAGTTTTTGTGTTGTATTGTGATATCCATCCATTCATCCATTTTTCACCGTGGACGAAGCGGAGTCCAGCCTGGGGTCGTCACATGTGGTTGCCGCAAGCCTCCTTCGTCGAATCCGCCGGCCGTGCCGTTCTCAAGCCCGCCGCCTCTGCTCACTCTAGCCCTCCGGCCGTTCCTCTCTCTAGCCCCTGGCCTCTGCTCACTCTAGCCCCCGGCCGTTCCTCTCTCTAGCCCCTGGCCTCTGCTCACTCTAGCCCCCGGCCGTTCCTCTCTCTAGCCCCTGGCCTCTGCTCACTCTAGCCCCCGGCCGTTCCTCTCTCTAGCCCCTGGCCTCTGCTCACTCTAGCCC